AGTTTCGAATCTGCAGAAGAAAATCAAGGTACGTACCGTGCCTTCTACAGCCTCATCCGGAGGTGCCCTCGTTTCCGCCTCCGTGCGGGCTTGCCAGGCGCGCTAGCGGCACGAAATTACTGCTTGCGTGGTACGGCGTTGCCCCGAGCTTCCCGCATCTGCTTCCCGAACACTTACATGCCACTGGGTGTGATGGAAGCGGAAATGTGAGCAGGTTGAACACGATAAGCGCTTGCCCCCGCACATGCAACACGAGATTGCTGCTCACCCGCTGTCGAGAGTGCGCCACATTTGCGCCCCAGTGCCCGCCCACTGCTTGCCACTGGTCGAGATGTGCGCAATGGAGGCGGGAAGGTGAGCAGGAAGATCCCGGGACAACGTGAGTTTCGGGCATTTGTACCGTGCGGTCTTGCCACTGAGTGCTGCCGGCGAAGGCATACCGCGCAAACTCATGTGTCGCATGACCCTGACCACGCGCCGGTTCATAATCTGTAAGTCTTGTCATTGATCACTCTGCCGTCCTTGTCGAGACATGGAGACAGACATACTGCACAGTTGCGCCCCTGCAAGGGGCGTCGCCGGCCGTTCTGAACACCTTGAAGGAGTTGATCCCCCGCGCCGTATGTGGCTGATGAAGCCGAGCCTGCTGTATCTTGGTACCCGAACAGCAGGCCGCCGCGCGAGCAGACCGTGCGTATCTTGTCGCCCCGCCTCCCGGAAGTGCGCGCTCCTGGCAGCGCGAGGGGTTTGAGCTGCTCGTGCGCCCTCAGGAGACGAGCACAGGGCTTCCCGAGAAGCGTCCAGCTTGCCTGGACAACTACGCTATCAGCCGAGCGAGCCTGAGAATTTACGAGCTTACGGCGCACCTGGGAGAGTCACTTTCCAGGAGCGCCCCCTTCCTTCCGTCGCCGACTCGCATTTTCGGGATGCCGCCTGGGCTCTTGCATGCATGCCAAGCACCGTTGCACCAAGCGCAAGAGGGCCGACGTTGTAATTGTGGGATGGCAGAGATGCTGCTGTGGATGTCCGGGTCCACCCCGCAGAGCTGCACGGAAGCTGTGTACGGAGTGGCAGGAAGACTCTGCTGAGTCCCGCACTGTTCGTCCGGTCAGTCACATCGCACACTGGCCTATGCTGCGAGCATGGACACAACCGGAAGGCGCTGAGTGCATCACCCCCCTCGGCCGCTTGGGCCGCCGGGTGGGCACAAAGACGTCTCGGGGTACGCCGGTGGCTACGTTAGCTTCACTGTCCTCCGGTATCCAGAATGAAGGGCTTACCATTCATAAACACAGATGTGCTCACCCGTACTGTCGCCAGACCCCGACCTATGAACTTGCTCGCATCAGAGACCTCCGATGACTCCCGCATGCGCCTCCGCTGATTTTGAGGCTGTCGATGGGCGTGCTCGTGGGGGCGGTAGAGTTGGAATGACAGATTGACGAGGGAAGGGGCAGGTGGTGCGGCAGAGGGGCAGGTGAGGCGGGGCAGTGTGGACTTCGAGGAACACGTATGAGTTGTAACTACGTCTCTCTGGTTCGTCTGCGGTGGTTACAGCCACACGGCTGACCCTGACTCGGTCAGCGGCAGGTGCGCATTTCTGAGCCGTGTGCTGCGGGAGGATGATGGCAATCGGGTATTGACAATTGTGGGGCGGCCACAATTCAATCGTCCCGTTCCAGACTTGTTCTCGCTTGCACCAGATGATTTCCGTGTGCCGGACCAATTGTAGCACTTGGTTCGGTGTGATCGGACCCGGTTCAGGAAATGCCATGGCTCTGTCATACTCTGAGAACTGGCGAGTGCAGGAACTGTAGTGTATGGAGCACAGTGCTCCTTGCACTGCAGTTCCTACTCCCTGCCACTTCTGACCTCTTTACCACTGGCGATCTTGTTCTCTATCGGCAGAATAACATCCAGGGTGTGTTGTGAGGCACCCCGACCGCAGTAGTATGCTGACGGCTATCAGTCACGTCTAATTTCGAGATGTCCAGACCACTCCAAGCCCGAGGCGGCCGGCGCGGTGTTGGCGGATAGACCTGCAGTCAAGATCCGCGCAAGCGTCACTTGCTCGCGTACCGCTAATGATCATACTTGACGCCGGAAAGAGACGCAGCGAGGCTACTGTGCACATCCCCGTTGCGGCGCAGCGGCGGTTTGAGAGTGTGGCATGGCAAGATGTGCACACGAGTCATTGCGGCCAAAATAGGCGTGTACACAGCTGCCTATTTTGGTAATGTTGTTCAAAGCCGCTGCAGCTCTGAGAGCTAGATTGACTCCTGCTTTCAACCCCGACTTATTTCTTGCTGCACACGTGTTATGCTCATTTGATAGCACTCATACTAGCAGAATAGAGCAGGCCGCATATTACTCTGGTGAACATGTAGGATACCGGTGCAATGGTCGATTCGGACACAACATGCCGTGCACAGGTGGTCCGGCGCGTGAGGCCATTCCCAGCATCGACTGTGAGTCCCGATATTTGTGTTCCCGGGTGATCATAATAATCTATATTGTACTCGTGCACGAAGAGTAAAGAAATACGTCAGCCTTGCAGACGTTCAATCCCTTCAAGATGACTGCTCACCCCCGGCAGTGTTCAAGACAGACTACATTTGCTGCCCTTGACCATGCTCGGCATCGTGGCGCGCCCATCACGTACCGCACTCTCATCTACATCCAGATTTGATTTGCCCCTTCCCAGCTTCATAGCGTGTGGGTGCAGGTCACTGTTGCGGGGTTGAAGGATCGTTTGATACCATTTCCATGCACTAGACAAGTGGAACCTGGACCGCACGAGCAAATGAGCATGCTCGGAGTGAATATGGTGCTCTCGCGAAGCTGTCAATCATGTGAGGGCGTAACGACCGTCCTTTTTTGCGCAATCACTTGCCAATCTGCAGCACATTTAACGCAGTGGATACAACAGGTCTGTGATAGAAATATATATCATGCAGATACACATGCGGGCCTCATACCTATGGAACCGCACTAGTGGTGCGCCTACCAGGTTCAAAGACCACCCGCCCCGAAGACGGCGGCCGGACAATGTAGTTCTGTTTCCGCTGACCGGGGCTTCCGAGATGAGAGCATGTTCAGCCCAGAACCTGTCCCAATAGATGGTAGTCACGGCCGCTCGAAACGAGGGCAGTCCTGACAGGTCGCGTACCGAGCGCCCGCCGTCCGAAGCGAGCGCATCCCCACATCTGCGAATCGAGACTTCACCGCGAATCGTACCGCGTCGCGTATTCACGTCTAGCCCTCCCGCGGTGCGCGTACGAGCACCCCTGCCCGCTCTCCCCGTCTCCGTCGGCTCGTCGTGTCGTGCGCTGGTTGGCGCGGACCCCAGTGGGTTCGGTGCGCTCCGCCGGTCCTCTCGTAACGGCGTCGCCTCGTCGCCGTCAGCAACTGATTGCGCGCGACGGGGGCGGGCTTGGCTCCGGGAGACGGTCACCGCACGGACCATGGTGCGACGCGGAGGAGGAGACGGCCCTAAATCTCATCAGCCATAAGTACAAGGGTGGTTGCGACGCGAGCGTGCAAACTTTCCCTACCCCGTCCCACTCCTCCGTCACGCTCCTACCATTCCCTCTCGAGTGAGAGCGTTCCGTGTCCATATCGGCCAATTCTGCCTGTTGGAGGTCTGTTAGTATCATGTGCGGCATGGGATTCGTTACTGACCTGTCCCAGGCCCCCCGCCCTCGAATACACGTCGAGGCCCGTGTACACAAAACATGCACCACACGAAGGGCGTTGTCAGGGTTCTAATCCTACTTCGCGGTGAGTACTTTCTCTCCCATAGTACAACGGACCTCGTGTCGTGTTTGTTCCCCTTGTGCGGCGTCGTGATTCGACCGAGCACCTGCCCGTCCCCTTCGGCTTCGACTTTGCGCAGACACCTTTGCAAACAATGCTGACTGGCTCGTACATGATAGCACCTGTCCGCCCCGGCTCGATACGGCGTCAACGTAGAGAACACGGCAGTAAGTGCTTCCGCCATCACTGAACGAGAATGCGGCTGAATCACTCGCTCACCTAGACGATGCCTGCCGCCTACACCGCTGCTCGGATACGACGGGTGAGTGTCGTCACCCGGGGCTTGGACTGCGTGTTCGCCGACTTGTGATGCTGGTTTGTGTGCGAATGTCGCCGGGATAGAAACAAAGGCGAGGATAGCAAGCGAACGGGACGGCGGTGCACCGCCGGTCGGAGTGCGCACGCAACGTGCAGTACCAGAGCCTCGCGGACAGATCCATCTTGAGGTACGTGCTCCTTGGGTGTGCCGGGCGGCGTCTTGCTCTGCCAGAGCCTCCGCGTCCGCTGACTTTCTCGATACAGATGCGACATGTATTTACGACAGACCACGTGTCCCGGCGCATCTGTCCGGCGTGCGTTAAGTACTGACAAACGGTACATGCCCGCCGCGCTCGAACGCGTTGCCGACGATCAGACACAACTCTAGCAGGGACTACGGTGCGTTAGCTTCTTCCCATAACCAAACAAGCGCGGTACCCACATGTGATGTCTAGAGCGAGCGACTCCACGCGCACAGCACGAGGGCGATTCGGAACGGAGGCTGGTAGCCGGGGCGGGAGAGGACGAGGGCGTAGATCAGTATCTAGATAGGCGAGGCGGCCGCAGCGCAGACTCGTAGAGCGCGGCGCGGCGCGGGGGACGTTCTTGCGGCGGCGGGGTCCCGACCAGGCTCTGCCTCCCGCCGTCGTGCACCTCGCACACCGCCGTCCAGAGGCGCCGAGACTTCTACCTCCCGGCAGCGCGGCGTCCGCGGTGAGGGCGCCGCGCACGAGCGACGCGGCGCGCGTTGCCGTCTCGCTGCCTTCGCGTCGCAGCTAGCGACCGCCGACCGGGTGCCTGGGATGATCTGCAGAAACGCACGGTGAGTCTCTTGCCGCCTACGGATGGCGGGAAACTGACGAGCGTACCGCGGCAGGGCTAAGTAGGCGCTGCGGGGCTAGCCGGCGGCCTACACGTCGAGGAGGCGCGAGGCAGAGTGCCATCTGGCACGAGATGGTGAGCATCGCGCGACGAGAGGGCGGTACGGTACATGTCGGCTCACCTCCCGTGTCTCCCGCAGGAACAGACCGGCGCCGCGGACGGCGCGAGCGGTACAGGAGGGGCGCAGGGACGGGACGGCAGGCGGGCGGCGCGGACCGATGAACATCGAGATGTAGATACAGGTACTACAGACAGCCGCACAGCCTGGCGCGGCACTCGACGTGGGGGAGCGGGGAGCGAGGGCTCGTTCGGCGCGGTGCTGCCTACGTAGGTGCAACCCGACGTCACAGCCCTCTCCCCTCCTCTCGTGCCGTGCCTCGAGCAGCGCTCGTGGCGTCGCTGTGGGCCTGTAGAGACGCTCTCCGCAGCGGGCGAGCTGACGATGACGTTCGCGAAGGACGAGATCGAGGGCGGACGCGGCTCCTGCCAGTGTCTTCAGCCCCGCAGGCAGTCTTCTCCGTCGCGGCGCGTACTCGCTCGCGGGCCACGTCCCCCGACGAGGAACCGTCCTGCAGGCGTTCGTGCAACGCCGTCGCGTTTGGCGGCGCCAAACGCGGGCGGGCAGCCGAACGCGCCGCCAGGCGACGACGACGGTGACGACGACGACGTCACGGCCCGCGACGCATCCGTACGCGGAGGTGACCACAGCGCCGCGTGTGCGGTGCACCTGAGATGTCCCTGCAGTGCCGCCGAGTCGGGAGTTCGCGTCAGGGAGTGCCGACGCGCATGGAGATGCGGTCGACCCCGCCGGACCACAAACACACCCGAAAATGAAATCGTCCGGACGCGCTCGAACGCGACGGCGAACGATAGCAATCGTGTACGGGCGTCCTCGTGCCAAGTTTCGGAGCGATACGCCGAGCAGGAGGGCCGGGACGCCGGGTTTATGTTTTTCGCCAATGAAATCGCCCGACGCACTCCAAATATTTTCTGCTCGGATCGCGACGAAACGTCGTCAGCGTACGCGTATTGGTCCATGGAAGTGCGGCGCGTCATCGACGAAGGTCGCGAGGCCGCGCTCGCCACGCGAGGTCGCGAATAGTCGTCCCGGGACGACCGCCGGCGCCGCCGTGCACGCGCAATCGCCCCCGGGCGTTCTGCGGCGAGCGGGATCGACAGCGGGAGCATACAGCGATGCCTGTGCCAAACGGCGCCGCACCACGATGCGTGCACGAGCCGGAATGCGGTGGCGAGTTCGGCCGTTGCCCATGAGATCGACGCAAATCGCCCGATTTTCGTCGGCTCCGAATGCGACGAGGCTGCCGGGGTGCATGCGGCCTGGTTCGCTGGAGCGTGTCGTGAGATTTAGAACCGCCGCGGGGGCGGCGACGAGGCGTGAGGTCGGCGGCAAGTCTTGGTGCGGGGCCGTCTGAGCAACATCGCGTGTGCGCGTCCAGAGTCGCCGGACGGCGCGACTACCGCCATGGCCCATCGCAGGGACATCCTGTGAGATGGACAACGCGCGAGGACGCCAGTGCCGGCACTCTTGGCAGCGTTACGCTCATTTCTGGGTGTGGGCCGGCTTAAAACCGGACCTGGTGAGCGCAGTTCGCGTGCGGGCGGGATAAGAACTCACCAGATGAGAGACAGAGGCGGTGTGCACCGCGCCATGCCAAACGGGGACGTGCCAACAGCGGGGCGAGTGCGGCAGGCCGGACGGAAGACCGCAGAGAGGTCGTCGCCTGGGAGAGGGCGTGGAGGGCGGAGGACGTTGGCGGCGCATTCGTGTGTGCAGCAGCGGCGGCGTCCGAGTACGATGAACGTCCTGTCAGAGTTCCACAGCGGGGCGCTCGAATTTGCAGACGCAGCGGATAGATCTTGGAGGGGTGGAGATGTACTCTGAATCCGGAATGGTGAGCGCAGTTTACGTCGGATCGATATGGAAACGCACCGGACGCGAGATTAGCGTGCTGTCTACGAGCTGGCACAGAATGCGCACGCGGCGTAGAGCGTGGGCGTAGGCAGAGGACGTCGGGGACGGGAGAGCGGCGAGCGAGCGCGCGGCGTGTATTCCTGGCGCAGGACTCTCATGGCGGCATCACGCTCGCACTGGGGTCACTTTACGGGTACGCCAAGCCTTATACAAGTGCGTAGAAGGCGGGCTTTGCGGGCGAGGCACCGTTCGCGGTCGACTGGAAGGGCGAGTAGGAGCTCAAAAGAGACACCGTCCGCGGTTCCTGGCGTGCGCGTGCGGCCGTAGGAACATGACATGTTACTCGAGTCCATGTTCTCGATGTACACTACGAGAAGCGGGTTAGCGAAAGGATGGAATGGACGGATATGTGTGCACAGACCCACGGATAGGCTGCAAACGGGCGTTCGCACTTATGGCCAGGCTCGCATGCAGAGGACAGCGGCGTGGCGGGTGGACAGAAGAGGCGCGAGGAGAGAGCGTGCGGTGGAGGGCGAGAGAGACAGGCACCCGCGCAGCGCGATCGCATCTAGGCGAGCTGTGTGGATTTAGCAGAGGAGGCCGATGGACGCGTTGTGGCTCGAGCTCGCGAGTGGACGTCGAGTGGTCTTGAAGGGCGTCACTCGCCCGCCAACACGTCCTGGACGGAAAGGAAGCGAGCGGGACCCGAGGGCAGACGCTGCAACGACGGTCCTAGCCCGCGACATGTCAGAGAAGCGGCCGTTGGCGCCCGTCGCTGGAGCAGCGTCAGTGCATGCATTCGCCAGGGCACACCGCCGCAATGACGATAAGACGATCGATAGGCCAGCGACGGCCGGTGTAATGGGGGAGGGAGTCAGGAGAGCGCGGGTCGTCATCTGAGTTGGATCTCGCGCTGCGTGCTCGGCGCTCTCCACGATCGGGGCCTCGTTGCCCTCACTCATCGCTCTTCCTCCCGTCCTCGTCGTCCTCCACAGCGAGCTCCCGCTTTCCTCTTTCCACCGCTCAGAGGGCCGCATCCACGCCCATACCCGCCGCTGTCCTGCGCTTGTTACATGTCAGAACCCGAAACACTAGCCTACATGACCGGCACAAACGAGGACTTCGATCTCCCCCGTTGGCACACCCAGTCCATGCACGACAACCTCTCTTCCTCGGCGCAGGCGGCCCAGTCGCGGCACAGGCGTCGTACATCTACCCCCAGGCCCGCCACCACAAGCACCGAATCGTCTGCCC